CCCCCCCCCCCCCATTATATAAACAACCACTGGAACTGTACCCTGCACCTCCCCCCCTTTATTTTTTACTTTACTTTTAGGGGCTTCGGGGAAATATTGGGGGTCTAGACCCCTGATATTTTCCTTTTAAAATAGAAAAAGAGATTTTCCTCAATCTCTTTTTCTGTGTCCCCTGTTATAAATGAACAGGAATCCTGCATACTGAGTGTTCCTGTTCATTCATAACATGAGGACAGAGTATGATTACTATAACCACAACTATGAATGAACACGAGGTGATGTAGATCTCTCCCATTCATTCGTAATTGGGGATATAGTAAACCTACTATGTCCTCAATTATGTACAGACACTCAGCTATCACTGAGTGTTTGCATTGGCTCTCCTCTCTGACGCGCTGTCACAGGAGGCTGGGCGGGCCGGTGCAGGAGAGCTCAGCCTCCTGTGACAGCGCTGTCTCCGCCCACACACCGCTCTGCCGGACTGTGATAGGAGGCAGCGCTCTCCTCCTGCAGCGCTTGTGACACTTTCTCTCCTCCCTCCTGGGACACAGAGCAGCGCCAAGCAGGGATGCGCCGATGTATCGGCCAGAAAATGGCACTTTCGGCATTTAGCCAAAAGTGCCATTTTCGGCCGATATGTTGCGGCGGCCGATACATCGGTGCATTCCTAATGGAAACCTCTTTTTCTAATGCACTCCTTGAAATATTCTAGAAGTATTCCATTGTGTAAAATGACAGAAAACGCACAGAAGGCGCCCAGCTCACCTCCTTAGTGAAATGCAGGTCACCCATCAGTTTTCCAGCCACTCCATCGTCTTTTCGGGCTTCGATCTCCCCCTGGAGCTCCATTAGCATCCACTCCCCCGGCTGCCCCTCAGCATCTCTGTAAGGCAATGAGAAGCAGACTCAGGGATAACAGTCATGTGTTCCATCGGGCAGCCATAACTATGATTCCTCAGAGACCCAATTCCCCCATTTACACTGTGTCCTTGCACAACACGTTACATAGAACTGATCACATGGAAAGTTTCCATAATGACCCCATTACAGTCACACACGTTAGGACCTCTGTCGGTCAGGCTCCAGTTACCCCACCACTATGGTATGTTGTGTTGAGGAAGAAACCAGGGCACCTGGAGGAAACCAACAACACAGATGAAACATACAAACTCCATGCTACTGTAATACTGGTTACCTAAAAAGTTAAAATGATTCTATGAAAAGAATATAAGAGTGTCTATAGTTACCAAACTGATCAAAATCCAACGCCAAGAGGAACATTCCGTGCATGGATTCCCTCCCAGGACACTGGCAGATGGACAGGCTGTGTATGGCTGTGGCAGGGACATGACATTGTAGACGGATATTCATGTCCTGGGATTATTTGCCTTTTAGGTGCATTTTATTCCCCTGATACTTCGAGATTTCATTGCTTTTTGCCGCTTCCTTGAAATCAATGTGCCGACTGTGCTAATGATATTGTACACACGTAGTCACGTCTCCCAGTAGCCAAAGATGTACTTACTCCATGCTGCAAGGCCAAGCTGGCTACATACATAGGGGGGGGGATTTATCAAAACTTGTCCTATGTCCCTAACACAGACCTTACCCTCCCCCCATGACCACCACTCAGTTCGTGAGAATAGAGGAGCAACGTGAGAGCCGGTGAGTGAACTGAGAGAGGGGGTGAACCGGGGCCGCCGGGCACTGAGGGCAGACTGCATTGTGTGTACCGATCACTGATTGCACAGAGATCGGCCTCCATGTGCGGCAGGCATGCCCAGCGCCGAGTTCGGCCTCCATGTGCGGCAGGCCTGCCCAGCGCCGAGTTCGGCCTCCATGTGCGGCAGGCCTGCCCAGCGCCGAGTTCGGCCTCCATGTGCGGCAGGCCTGCCCAGCGCCGAGTTCGGCCTCCATGTGCGGCAGGCCTGCCCAGCGCCGAGTTCGGCCTCCATGTGCGGCAGGCCTGCCCAGCGCCGAGTTCGGCCTCCATGTGCGGCAGGCCTGCCCAGCGCCGAGTTCGGCCTCCATGTGCGGCAGGCCTGCCCAGCGCCGAGTTCGGCCTCCATGTGCGGCAGGCCTGCCCAGCGCCGAGTTCGGCCTCCATGTGCGGCAGGCCTGCCCAGCGCCGAGTTCGGCCTCCATGTGCGGCAGGCCTGCCCAGCGCCGAGTTCGGCCTCCATGTGCGGCAGGCCTGCCCAGCGCCGAGTTCGGCCTCCATGTGCGGCAGGCCTGCCCAGCGCCGAGTTCGGCCTCCATGTGCGGCAGGCCTGCCCAGCGCCGAGTTCGGCCTCCATGTGCGGCAGGCCTGCCCAGCGCCGAGTTCGGCCTCCATGTGCGGCAGGCCTGCCCAGCGCCGAGTTCGGCCTCCATGTGCGGCAGGCCTGCCCAGCGCCGAGTTCGGCCTCCATGTGCGGCAGGCCTGCCCAGCGCCGAGTTCGGCCTCCATGTGCGGCAGGCCTGCCCAGCGCCGAGTTCGGCCTCCATGTGCGGCAGGCCTGCCCAGCGCCGAGTTCGGCCTCCATGTGCGGCAGGCCTGCCCAGCGCCGAGTTCGGCCTCCATGTGCGGCAGGCCTGCCCAGCGCCGAGTTCGGCCTCCATGTGCGGCAGGCCTGCCCAGCGCCGAGTTCGGCCTCCATGTGCGGCAGGCCTGCCCAGCGCCGAGTTCGGCCTCCATGTGCGGCAGGCCTGCCCAGCGCCGAGTTCGGCCTCCATGTGCGGCAGGCCTGCCCAGCGCCGAGTTCGGCCTCCATGTGCGGCAGGCCTGCCCAGCGCCGAGTTCGGCCTCCATGTGCGGCAGGCCTGCCCAGCGCCGAGTTCGGCCTCCATGTGCGGCAGGCCTGCCCAGCGCCGAGTTCGGCCTCCATGTGCGGCAGGCCTGCCCAGCGCCGAGTTCGGCCTCCATGTGCGGCAGGCCTGCCCAGCGCCGAGTTCGGCCTCCATGTGCGGCAGGCCTGCCCAGCGCCGAGTTCGGCCTCCATGTGCGGCAGGCCTGCCCAGCGCCGAGTTCGGCCTCCATGTGCGGCAGGCCTGCCCAGCGCCGAGTTCGGCCTCCATGTGCGGCAGGCCTGCCCAGCGCCGAGTTCGGCCTCCATGTGCGGCAGGCCTGCCCAGCGCCGAGTTCGGCCTCCATGTGCGGCAGGCCTGCCCAGCGCCGAGTTCGGCCTCCATGTGCGGCAGGCCTGCCCAGCGCCGAGTTCGGCCTCCATGTGCGGCAGGCCTGCCCAGCGCCGAGTTCGGCCTCCATGTGCGGCAGGCCTGCCCAGCGCCGAGTTCGGCCTCCATGTGCGGCAGGCCTGCCCAGCGCCGAGTTCGGCCTCCATGTGCGGCAGGCCTGCCCAGCGCCGAGTTCGGCCTCCATGTGCGGCAGGCCTGCCCAGCGCCGAGTTCGGCCTCCATGTGCGGCAGGCCTGCCCAGCGCCGAGTTCGGCCTCCATGTGCGGCAGGCCTGCCCAGCGCCGAGTTCGGCCTCCATGTGCGGCAGGCCTGCCCAGCGCCGAGTTCGGCCTCCATGTGCGGCAGGCCTGCCCAGCGCCGAGTTCGGCCTCCATGTGCGGCAGGCCTGCCCAGCGCCGAGTTCGGCCTCCATGTGCGGCAGGCCTGCCCAGCGCCGAGTTCGGCCTCCATGTGCGGCAGGCCTGCCCAGCGCCGAGTTCGGCCTCCATGTGCGGCAGGCCTGCCCAGCGCCGAGTTCGGCCTCCATGTGCGGCAGGCCTGCCCAGCGCCGAGTTCGGCCTCCATGTGCGGCAGGCCTGCCCAGCGCCGAGTTCGGCCTCCATGTGCGGCAGGCCTGCCCAGCGCCGAGTTCGGCCTCCATGTGCGGCAGGCCTGCCCAGCGCCGAGTTCGGCCTCCATGTGCGGCAGGCCTGCCCAGCGCCGAGTTCGGCCTCCATGTGCGGCAGGCCTGCCCAGCGCCGAGTTCGGCCTCCATGTGCGGCAGGCCTGCCCAGCGCCGAGTTCGGCCTCCATGTGCGGCAGGCCTGCCCAGCGCCGAGTTCGGCCTCCATGTGCGGCAGGCCTGCCCAGCGCCGAGTTCGGCCTCCATGTGCGGCAGGCCTGCCCAGCGCCGAGTTCGGCCTCCATGTGCGGCAGGCCTGCCCAGCGCCGAGTTCGGCCTCCATGTGCGGCAGGCCTGCCCAGCGCCGAGTTCGGCCTCCATGTGCGGCAGGCCTGCCCAGCGCCGAGTTCGGCCTCCATGTGCGGCAGGCCTGCCCAGCGCCGAGTTCGGCCTCCATGTGCGGCAGGCCTGCCCAGCGCCGAGTTCGGCCTCCATGTGCGGCAGGCATGACCAGCGCCGAGATTAGCCTCCATGTGCGGCAGACATGACCAGCACTAGAGCTGCAGCTAACGATTATTTTCAAAATCGATTAGTTAGCCGATTATTAAGTTCGATTAATCGGTTAATCGGATAAACTATAAAATAAAGTTTAAAAAATGAGGCATGCCCAGCGCCGAGTTCGGCCTCCATGTGCGGCAGGCATGACCAGCGCCGAGATTAGCCTCCATGTGCGGCAGACATGACCAGCACCGAGATTAGCCTCCATGTGCGGCAGACATGATTAATCGATTATAATCGATTATGTCGATTAGTTGTTGCAGCCCTAACCAGCACTGAGATCAGCCTCTAACGGTGGCACATACCCATTAATGAGATCAGCCCCCATCTGGGGCAGATACACTTTATTGGCAAAAGTATTTGGACACTCTCCAAATCATTGTATTCAGGTGTTCTTTGAAATTTCCTTGCTACTAAATATTCCGCGGTCACCTGTTAGCGGTATTATAACAAAGTGGGAGCAACAGCAACTCAGCCATGAAGTGGTAGGTCACGTAAAATGACAGAGCGGGGTAAGCGCATGCTAATCACATCCCATTGAGTGTGGCTGTAGCTGCTGAGGGCGGAGCCAGCACCAGAGAACACGCTGGCTTCCAGTTCCCCATGCTCGGGGTTCTCTAGAAAATAAGGACACCAGCAATGAAAGGGGTTTAGCTGGTGGGGTAGACCGATGCAAAGGATGAACACCAGGCCCTGTGCCCTGAACCAGTTCCAGCTTTTATGTTTAACCAGATTGTGCCTTTAAAGAGAACTTGTCCTCCTCCCCAATAAATGTGTTTTTTCGGTTGATCAAAAGTCACCCCTAGTAGTAGTTGAGCTGAAAATTTCTATGCTGAGACTCCTGCTCCCAAAACCTCTTCTTTAAAGCACTTGTTGTGTCTGCTCAGTGGCATTGTGAGTTGTCGTGGAAGAGGAGATGAATGCACCGCTTTTGGGTGAAGAGTTGGCCACATGTGCCATACGGCTTCAATCGGTGGTGTGACATTCTCTACGCAGTGCTTGTAATCCATAGATACCACAAATTTTTGTCCACAGTGATGAAAAAAATAGGAGCAGGATGGGTATATCCTTGTAGTGGGCTACCCCCCACCACACTGCAAGGGTTAACTGCTCAGTTTTCTCTAGGGGACTGAATAAAGGGGAAATACTCACACAATCCTTGACCCTGCCTGGCTCCTAGATTGGCTCCAGCAGTCTAAGGACCTGTAACATCATCATGTCTTATATACACTGTATGTCCAGCACTGAGATCAGCCCCCATCGGTGGCAGACATCGATGCCATGGACAACACTTTCAGTCATGACATCTCAGATACAGAATTGGGGGAGCGCAAAATGTTCATTCGTTCATTTATATATGATTATTTTTTTCCCCCCCCCCCAGGGAATGGGGGAGTTCATGGTTCACCGCGTGCGGTTCTTCGATTACATTCCCTCCGGTGTGCGATGCATTTCATACTCGGAACAGACAGACAAGCTCGCCGTGGCTCGCAATGACGGGTCTGTGGAAGTGTACAACTTTTCTGCCAACTACTACCAGGAAACGGTACGTTTTATAAACGATATTTACTGTGTATCTAAACCCAAAATGTAAAATATTTCCGCTTACCTGTCAGATGAACTGGCTGTGAATAACGCTTTATGCCCTAAGGCGGCTACACTCATTTCTTCACCGTGTCATGGCTGTCACCTAGGCTGGACTTTAAAAGAGAACTATGGGGTAAGTGTTTTTCCCCATAGTTCTCTTTAGGGTCACGGAAGGACATATAGGAACCTCCTCCCGTGACCCAAAGCTCAATATATTGTGGGCTATTGCTCACTATATACTGAGACGCCGCAGCCGGGACAGATCCCGACAATACTGTCTGGATTCACCCAGCTGCATAAGTGACAGCTGGCTCTGCCTATATAGAGGCAGAGCCAGTGGTTCCCTCCCCCGTTCGTTCCTCCAGTCAGCGCAGGAGGATCGGTGGGGGGAATCCCTGTGGGGAGTGGTGACTGACAGTCACCGTTCACTGCAGTGAGGCGATCAGAAAGTGAGCCGATCGGCGGCATGTTTCTGCTGACTTCCCGATCAATAGAGCCGACCTGTGACCGCTTCTTTGTCACAGGTCGGCTCTAACTATGAGGTGAGTGGAAATCACTCACCTCATAGTTCTCCTTTAAATATGTCTGCCTGTGTTCGTCATGATGGGATTAGTAGTGTATAATGTGCCCTTCCTGTCCTGACAGGAAGTGAGTGGAAATTTCCCTAATAGGGGCACAAATGGCAAGAACAACCTGATAAAGCCTGTAGCCCTTCTCCACTGTATCCAAATCTAAATGACAAGTTTTGGCCCGAGTTGGGCTCCAATCACTAACCCTAACACCAGACAAGTACAAGATGGATTCTGATTGGCTGGCTTCTTTGGGTACCATAATTAGTTTCTTCCTGTATATGAGAAAGCGTGCACACGTCTGATACATTGTGGCAGACAACATATTGGGGTCCATGTATGTGGCTTCTATACTCATCAGCGCCATCTAGAGACTAACTGTTATAAATGAACCCAATTATTTACTCTTCGGGTTCTTATCAAACACGTTGCATTAGGTGTTTCGATGTTCTCATTAATTAAACATCGTTGTGATCTTTGCACTTATGTCCCGTTTTGCGTTCTCTGCCACACAGATCATTCCCGGCGACGAGAAGAGATCCACAGAGTCTATATGCTGGGTGGCCCGAGACCGACTCTTCTCTGCAGGTCTGAACGGAGAGATCACCGAATACGACCTGGAGAGGCTGTGCGTCAAATATTCTCTGAATGCGTTTGGAGGCCCCATATGGAGCATCACGCCGAGTCCGTGTGGATCTCAGCTTGCCGTAAGTTCCGGCCCTTCACCCTCTTAGTACATACCCGTACCCATAATCCTCTGCAGGAGCCATATATAAGGTAGAACAGGGGTAGGCAAGCTCCTGCCCTCCAGCTGGTGTAAAACTACAATTTTCATCATTCTTCTGTCTCTGGGAGTCATGCCTGTGGCTGTCAGTCTTGCAATGCCTCCTGGGACTTGTAGTTTTACAGCTGGAGGGCCAGAGTTTTCCTATCCCTGCAGTAGAACAGTAGGTGTGCTGTGCTGCAGTGCACTATGGGTGGTTGAGATATTTTTAACCCCTTCGTGACTGACGACGTACAGTGTACGTCGGGTGCGCCTACGTATGAAAACGACGAACGCGCTACACATGTTGGGTATTGCCGCGCACGCCGGAGTGAGAGCAATAATTCTAGGGCCAGTATTTTGGGGTATTTCTAAATTGATGACCTGTGGGGGCTTTTAAAGCGTCCTCTATTGACTTTTTGGGGTACTGCAGTTTTTCGCCGTTTCACGGACGCACGCAATTTGTAACCTATGCATGTTGGGTATCGTTTTACTCGTTGTAACCTCATCTTTTATATGTCATTTAAAAAATTGGTATTTTGTTGTGTTTTGGGGCATTAAATTAAATTTTTCACTAAATGTTGGGGTTTAATAAGGAGTTGCGCTAATATTGCGCAACATAAAAATTTGCAACTACCACCATTTTATTCTATAGGGTCTTGGCATTCAGAAAATATATAATGTTGGGGGGTTTTAAGTCATTTTCAGGCCTAAAATGTGGAATATAACATGGGTGCAAAAAATGAAAAAAGGGCCTCAGTCATGAAGGGGTTAAAGAAAAGCAGCAAACATTCAGAGACTCGGCCAATTTACCTGCTCAGTGTAGGTGATAAAGTCTCTTGAACACCCCCCACTCACCTCCTCATACCACATCATCGTTGCATTCCCGCAGCACAGTTATTGTGTTTGAGCCAGGAGTCGATCCCTGAAGCCTACACAGGGTTGATGACGTCCTCATGTGATAGTGTTCGGGTCTGGCAATTGGCCTCTCAGGCCTGACCACTGCATCCTGGGAAGAGGTCTCTTGCTCCACCAGCTGGAAGCACCCGGTATTGACTGGTGACCCAACCGAGTACCAGGGGGAGCATGGCATAGTAGGTGGGAGGTTGCTTTTTCCTGGACATACTGACACTTTGCCCAGCTATGATGTGCTGTGTGTTATCACCTGTTGTTATTTCATCTTGATTGAAACTCCAGCAACATCTGCATATAAGCTGAAAATGCAAATCAGGCCGGCAGTAATGGATACCGACATTCATCATCCTGTCCCACACTGTCACCCTCCTTTTTAATTTAGGAGGGTACACAGCCGATGGTTTTAAATTTTAAAATGAAAGCGATTGCCAGCACTTCTTCATCACTTTGTATTAAAACCCGGTAGATTTGCAGATCTATGTGGAAGCCACACTGGCTCGTCAAGGCCCATCTGTAAAGTGCAGTCTTTAACTCAAATCTCCCAGAGCTCCCATCTTGGGAGAGGCACAGATATAAGTAAATGGAAGGGGGGTGTACCTGGAGGTAACCAATTCCTCCTCCAAAAGGTGCAAGTACACACTAAAAGCCCAGCACACAAGCAGCTGAAGACCTCCAGTGTGTCCCAGCAATCAATAACTGACTTTATAAAGCAAGGTGCACGTTTTCCAGTACACCTACTGGTCAGCAAACATATATTCAGCACTGTGTTCTGGTGCCCCAAAAGTGGTTAGCATAAATATGTTGGGGGTGCCGCTGACCATCACAGCCAAAATATCTTAAAGAGGAACTGCAGCTATTAACAAAATTAACCCCCCCACTCTGCAAGGGTTAAATGCTCATTTGGGCTAGGGGCTGGAATACGGAAGAGATACTCACCTGATCCTTGGTCCTGCAACAAACAGCACTCGCTTCTCTCTCCCACTCCACTCCGGCTGTAGTGTCCCTTGGCATCCTCACATCTAATGTAGGTGAATGGACCTGCTTTAGACGTGATGACATCAGCGGGACTTTGACTGCCAGAGCCCAGGGGAGAAGAGGCTGTGGAGACCGTTCTAGCAGCCTGGAGGGATAGAGGATCAGGTCAATAAATCTGCCTTATTCCAGCCAATAGACCAAAACGAGCAGTTAACACTTGCAGTGCAGGGGTAGACCCACTGCAAGAGTTAATTTTGCTAATTTCTGAAGTTCTCTTTAAAGCAGAACTCCAGTAATCTTTTTTTTTTTTTTGAAAGCTTGCATTGGTCCAGCTTGGCTCCATGCAAGTACCCTTAGCTGATATCCGGAGGGCCACTGAGGAGGCTGAAAATAACTGTAGTAGTCCGTGTTGCATACGGTGATGGCTGTGATCTCCCAACTGCAGCTTCCCCTCTGCACACTGAGCACAGGTAGACGCTTAGCACTGCCACCAATCAAAGAACGCCTCTTTTTTTTCCCCAAATTATTTCAAGGTGTTCTATAATTAGATGGGAGATTGTGACACCACCCTCCCTTCCTCTCCACCTTGTCCAATCAGAGAACTCCTTGTAGTCTTAAAAAAAATACCCTATGGACAGTAGATGGGGTGTAATAGCAGCACACAGAATTCAGGAATGCATCATGGTCTTTATACACCTTTGCGCTAATATTGCGCAACATAAAAATTTTCAACTACCACCATTTTATTCTATAGGGTCTTGGCATTCAGAAAATATATAATGTTGGGGGGTTTTACGTCATTTTCAGGTCTAAAATGTGGAATATAACATGGGTGCAAAAATTGAAAAAAGGGCCTCAGTCATGAAGGGGTTAAAGTTTACAGCCCAGACTTAATAGTCTCATGTTTTTTTTTGGATCAGAGTTCTTCTTTAGGTTGTGCATTCATTCCTCTATGAGAACCATCAGTGAGCTGTTCCTCTTGTTACAGGTGGGCTGTGAGGACGGCTCAGTGAAGCTGTTCACCGTTGCTCCAGAGCGCATTGTGTTTGAGAAGAGCTTGGATCGGCAGAAAGGTGATTGCTAGATGGATGATGATGTGATGACAACGTATGGCGGGCCTGGATTCCGACTGATGTGTAATCTAACGTCTTCTTTTTCTTCCCGCAGAGCGTATTCTGTGCATCGCTTGGCATCCTTCAGGTTCCCATATTGTGGCAGGTTCCATCAACACGATTAAAGTGTTCAGCGTCTCATCAGGTGGGGAGCACAGGTTCCAATTATATTGTCTTTTTGGTTTTCTAATCTGGTTTAGTAACATGTTAGGGTTGGGCTCATGCTCGCTGTGGTCGGTGCTTCTTTCAGAGCTTCCTGGGGTACAAAATGGCTCCTTCCATTTCAAAGATCATTTCAAGCAGAGGTTTCAACTTTCTCAGCTGTACAAAACACCTTCTCCCTATGTAATGGAGATGATGAGGGGGTCTTTTTGTCCAAATCAGGAGAGCAGCCTAGTGTAACAACTCTGCTACTTCAGATACATTAAGTGCATTAAGTGATCGTTGTCACCCTGGGACAGGAAGTGTGGTACTGTCAGGATCACAAGCTGAAATGAAGCCTGAAAAAAAGGCTAATGTGGCCACCACATCTAAGGACTAGTAAGCTGCAATATAATGTTTTTTAGGGTTATAATATGTTTTAAAGAAGGGGTAAGCAACCTCAGTACTCCAGCTATGGTGACACCACAAATCCCATCACAAACCCCTCCCTGTGGGAGTCATGCCTGAGTATTGCAGTGCCTCATGAGACTTGTTGTGGCACAGCTGGAGTGCCAAGGTTCCCTACCCCTGCTTTAACTTTTTTTTACTTTTGGAGAGAGTTGGGCCCTCTGTAAATTATTGCTGTCTGTGTCAGAGCGCGCCCTTTTTTTTCCCTCATAGCTGCTATTATCCCCAAGACAGAAAGTGAGAAAATCCGGTGACTGTAAATCATCTAGCTGTAACAAAAGTTCTGTTGACAACTGTCGAAAATGGGCAATTATCCTCACTTTGTAGCAATTTTGTTTTGTTTCCTGTTAGCTCTCCAGGACCGGAAGTGAAGGGAAATCTTCACAGCGGGACATAGACTGCAAAGAATAACAGTATAGGGCTTTTAACCATTCTCTACTCTATCCCAAAATTAACAAATGCAAAGTTTTTAGCTATACATACACCTTTAAGAGGAAGTTACTCTTCCTGTACCTCTGAATCCATGGGCTTGGATTAGGCTGGGTAAAAAGGTGTAGAAAAGCCAGCTATAGGGCAATCTGGTATCCCACAGAGCAGGGGGTAGGCAACGTTGGCCATCCAACTGTAGTGAAACTACAAATCCCATAATGCTTCTGGGAGTCATGCTTGTGACTATCAGTCTTGCATTGCCTCATGGGATTTGTAGTTCCACAACAGCTGATGTGCCAGTGTTGCCTACGCTCTGCCAGGGAGAACCTGTTACAAACTTTGATAAGTCATGACTGATCATCGCAACCCTTGTAGCATCCATGCACTACTTCGAATGTTACACGTATGCCTTGTTCTGTCTACCTAGACCACTGGCATCCATTTAGTATTGTCCTCTCCAAAATGTCTGCTGGAGCCCATAGTTGTAGATGCACCTAGTCTGTATGTTGAATCTACATAATATCTCCAGTACTCGCCAGAGGACAAAACCTTTGTAGTAGCTGAATTCTCCCAAGACAACTGTACAGATAGAACTTGAGCCTTGCTGTACATGACCTGCATGGGGGACAGCACCACCAGTGGTGCACACTGTATTCTCTTGGGAACACTTCTATATCCTCGCAGTGCTGTTGGTCATTTCCACTCTCCATCCTACTGATTTATTTATTCATACAAGGCATTCGATGCTTGACTCATCACTGTGATATATTCCGCTATCTTTTTTTAAACCAGGTCGCCTGCTGCAAGTGCTAAAGATGGACCGTCGTGGGCTAGTTGGCCAGAAGCGAACATGTATTGTATGGGGCGTAGCTGTTCTGTCCTGCGGTGAAATCATCAGCGTGGATTCTTCTGGAAAGCTCCAGTTCTGGGATTTAGAGACGGGGACACTTATCCGCTCATACACTGCGGCCACTAGCGATATCCTGTGCTTAGCGGTGTCTCAGGTATGTGTAAGCTGTCCACATACATGTACACCTCCTATGTAAATAACGATTTCAGGCACATGGTGGAATGATTTTCAGTCAGATCCAGGAGGATTCTCACATAAGATTGATGGGAATTATAACATTTTGCCACATCACTTTTGTGCTATCTTCCTCCTCTACTGCACTGTGCATGGGCAGATTTTTAGCAGTGGTTGGGAAAGATTTAAGATGTCCATGATGATCTTTGGAACCAGCAATCTGTTAACTAGCACAGGTATTGCTACAAAAAAGATGGTTCATACAGGAATAGGTTCAAATAGAACTCCACAAAGTTCCTACAAATATTTGGGGATGCAAGAATAATCAATAAATTACCAAGAATGTCCAAGAATAATCGATAAATTAAATCAAGGTCACCTCCTTTTTTGAGCTTCACCAAAACCATGCAGAGATATCACCATTCTCCGCAGTTCAGCCATGGTCAGCAACTTCTGGTCCTTGCACTAGTGTTTGACTTGACATAGTGACCCCAATGGAAGAATATGAGCCCTGCTTAAATGTATGCCGGCACGAGCTGGCCTACAGGGAGAGACCAGATCGCTCTGCATTGTTCCCAGCAAAGCACACAAAGGAAGAAAATGGACAGATAATACTTGTTAACAGAGAACAGATATGTGGAGTTCTCCTTTAACAAAATAGAAATACATACACATTCATATTCCATGA